GGGGAATGGGGGGGGTGTTGAGCGAGGAAAAGGGCTGGAGGCAGGGGAGATGTCAGTCTGAGGGAAATGGGGGGTGTGAAAAAATGCAAAAATTTGTATTTTTGGAAGTTAGGAGGAGGTGGGGGTTTACCAAAATTTTTGGCCCAGAGGGCTGGGGAAAGGGGGTTGTGAGGTGGTTCGGACATGTAGGGGAAAATGAAGCGAAACGAATGATTTCAAGGGGTATCAGTCTGTAGTGGAAGGAAGGCGGGGGTAGGGGTCGGCCTAAAAAAGGGTTGGAGGGGGGGGGAAAAAGGAGGTTTTGTGTGCGGGGGGTTTTGGACTTCCAGGGGCATGCGTGAGCGTTTTGATGGGATGAATGGAGACAAAGGGTTTTTTTAAAATACTTGACGTTTTGGTTGAGCAAAGTAAATTTATGAAGGGTTTCAGGGAAACCCGGCAGGCCGGACTTGAGTCCTGGAAGGGGAATACAGTCCTGCACTTGAAGGAGGGGTGTTATGTTGCAGTTTAAAAATGTGTGTAAAGCACTTTTCTGGCAAGAGGTGATGGATGAATGAGGTAAAACTTTTTTCTTTTCGGGTCACCCTCCCTTGGGGGAATGGCCAGGTGTTTAAAAAATATATATATATATATATTATATATATTTTATATATATTAATATTTTAATATTATATATAATATTTTATATTATATATAAAACTTTTTCCAAAAAAGAGTAGTTCCTTTTTCTTGGATAAAGACCCCTTCAGGGGCTTTAAAGGGAACATCTTAGGTGCCACAGGAGTGCCTCACTTCAGAAAAAAAGTTTACTTCACATTAAGCTAAACGATTTTTCAGAGTATAAACTGTGTGTGGAGAGACAAAGAGTTCTCAAGGAAAGGGTTAAGGTCCGGAGGGGCCAGGGTGTGCGCGGAGGGGGCCAGGGGGCACGGAGGGGGCCAGGGGTGTTGGAGGGTGCCAGGGTGGCAGGGAGGGTGCCAGGGTGTGCAGCGGAGGGTGCCAGGGTGTGCGCGGAGGGTGCCAGGGTGTGCAGTGGAAGGTGCCGGGTGGCAGCGGGGGGTGCCCGGGTGTGCAGCGGAGGGGGCCGGGTGTGAGCGGAGGGGGAGGGTGTCAGCGGAGGGGGCCAGGGTGTGCGCGGAGGGTGCCAGGGTGTGCGCGGAGGGTGCCCGGGTGTGCGTGGGAAGGGCCGGGTGTGCACGGGGGTGCCAGGGGGGTGCAGCGGGGGTGCCCGGGTGGCACGGAGGGTGCCCCGGGTGTGCAGCGGAGGGGGCCGGGTGTGCAGGGAGGGTGCCCGGGTGTGCAGCGGAGGGTGCCAGGGGGTTTCAGCGGGGGGGCCCGGGTGTGCAGGGGGGTGCCAGGGTGTGTTGGGGGTGCCAGGGTGTGTTGGAGGGTGCCAGGGTGTGCGCGGAGGGTGCAAGGGTGGGCAGAGGAGGTGCCAGGGTGGTTGGAGGGTGCCAGGGGTGTTTGGAGGGTTGCCAGGGTGTGCAGCGGAGGTGCCAGGGTGTGCAGCGGAGGTGCCAGGGTTGGCAGCGAGGGTGCCAGGGTGTGCAGCGGGGGTGCCAGGTGTGCAGCGAGGGTGCCAGGGTGTGCAGCGAGGGTTGCCAGGGTTGCAGTGGCAGCGGAAGGGTGCCAGGTGTGCCCAGCGGAGGTGCCAGGGTGTGCAGCGGAGGGTGCTATCATCTCAGGGAGTGTGCAAGCGGAGGGTGCCAGGGTGTGGCACGAGGGTGCCAGGGTGTGCAGCGGAGGGGTGCCAGGGTGTGCAGCGGAGGGTGCCATTGTGTGCAGCCGAGGTGCCAGGTGTGTTGGTGGGTGCCAGGGTGTGTTTTGTGAGGGTGCCAGGGTTGCAGCGGAGGGTGGCCAGGGTGTGCAAGGAGGGTCCAGGTGTGTTGGAGGGTGGCCAGGGTGTGTTGGAGGGTGCCAGGGTGTGCAGCGGAGTGTGCCCAGGGTGTGCAGCGGAGGGTGCCAGGGTTGCAGCGAGGGTGCCAGGGAGTGCAGCGGGAGGGTGCCAGGGGGGTGTGCAGCGGAGGGTCCAGGGTTGCAGCGGAGGGTCCAGGGTGTGCAGCGGAGGGTGCCAGGTGTTGCGAGAGGCGGGTGCCAGGGTGTGAGCGGAGGGTGCCAGGGTTGTTGCAGAGGAGGGTGCGCAGGGTGCGTTGGAAGGGAGCCCAGGGTGTGTTGGAGTGTGCGAGGGTATGGTTGAGATTGCACGATGTAGAGCACTAGAGTGTAGCAAAGAGTGCCCCTCAGGTGGCATTGGTGACGAAGAGAGAGAGAAGAGAGAGAGAGAGAGAGAGAGAGGAGAGAGAAGAGAGAGAGAGAGAGAGAGAGAAGAGAGAGAGAGAGAGAGAGAGAGAGAGAGAGAGGAAGCAAACAACAATGTTACCCATGCTAACACTTCTTATTTCAGTTGTCACCCACACATGGAACCTCCATTTCCGGCGGCGAGAGAGGGAGAAAAGGAGAGGGAAGGAGAGAAAGATGTGAGACCTCTACCCACTCTACCGGAGGTATCCCAGCGAGTGAGCACGTCCCCTGTATATCCCAGTGCTTAACAAGCTAGGGAATAGCATATGAAGGTACAAATAAAAATGGAACTATGGCAATAGTTACTAATAACATAAAAGGGCTAAATACAACATCTCCTGATGGGAAATTTACACATATAACAATTGACCTATGAGACTTATTAACCAGGGGAAGGGTAGATGTAATCAGAAACACGGACTAGTCTCACTCTTAATTCACCGACCAGGCTGACCCGAGGTTCCCAATGCGTGTCTACTATCACACGCGGGCAGTCCAGAGCTCTCGCTCGACGGACCTGTCACCTAACAACCTCCCTTTCCCGCCTCTTTTCCTGGGGCTTATATCGTAGCAAAGTACCCCCCTCCACCAATTGTTTTTTTGTATGTTACACGTGTATCGACCTGACGTCTCCTCCGCCTAGGTCTGAGGCTCAAGAACAAAAGACCTCAGACGTGGCGTGGCACCGAACGCCTGCCAAGGCAAAAGTGTGACCATATATAATTGGTCAAATTAGGTCTCCCCAGAGACCTCACACGCCCAGCTGGACACATCACATCCCCCCTTTCTCACCAGTTTAAAATATCTGAGAACTAGGACAATTTGTCCTAGTTATTTAGAAATAATTTAATCTAACCACCCTTAAATTCTATTACAATAACAATAGCAAATAATAGATTTCACACAGATCAGTAGGTTTAATAAATTCTAGCACAGGAAACGAATAACAATGACTCTGGTGCGAAACCTCCTATCCGTCATGTCTCCTTAAAACTAAATATCGGGCTTCCAGTGCCTTCCTGTAACTCTACTAGAAATAAACTAGCTCCTGTAGTCACGACCCTCGCTAATTAACCATTGAGCCAAAACCTCGTAAGGTTTTTCCTGGCGTAGAAAACAGCTCCAGCGGGTATTATTCCTCAAGTACTTGCAAACTGAACCATTACACGACCACAATGCGCATTTTCCTTGCACCGTAAAACCGGACCATTCATGACAAGGCAGGAATCCGCCAACCAGGACCATTCATTATTCCCATTCTAGGAACTAAAAGAAAACCTCCCCTTCCCTCACAATAAATTGAATCCTCTTCTACGGCGGAGCCGATTGGTGTTTTACAGTTCTCCACCTGAAAAGAAAATACATCCTATCTCTACTGTGATCCCTCCCGGGCAAGGACTAGGCTCACATAATATACAACACATTATTTGTCCCAACAGCTGACATAACATAGGGCATCCCCTAGCAGTAGAGATACCATACTAATACCACTCCTAATCATCATTTCCCAAGCTTCTGGCTAGTAGGAATGACACGGTTTGCTTGACTTGGGGCCATGCATTGACCCAGGGAGAAGCTCTCACCAAATCCTTGGGCAGAAATATGAAGGGGTCGACGAGAGGACATAAGGGCCATTGCAGTATTCTTGTCCACTCACCTCCAGATCCTGTCTACTGCTTCTAACTAGAAGAGGGGTTTAGCCCAGAGCTTCTGGCCGACCCTTAGCACTTCCTAAATAGGGCCATGTCTCATTGTGTGGACCTTCATTGGCGTTTTAGGAACGCTCATGCGGGTCCCTCTCGTTTGAAAGCACAGCATCTGGGAACTTCACGACTCAGCAAGCAAGCTTGATCTTCACACCACGAACAATACTCCTCAGGCAACCAAGGCCTCCCTTCATCCGTCCAGCCTCACCCGTCAACTTCCACCTCTTTCATGGTGGTGGCACGAGAGCTGGCGTACCGCTTTTCCTCGAAAGTCTCCCAGGTCTAAAATACCCTTTTGCTGACCCAAACTGACTTCTTGGCACGTCTGCGTCTCCACACTCCAGGCCACATAGATTCCTGGAGTCTCCTTGGCAGATCCTGGCAACTCTCCACATCTCCTGTGAATAATATAGAACGCAGTAATTGTTTCTAGCAGGTGACTGGGGCTTATTGTTGGTGGGC